AAAGTGAAGTGTATCTATACAATGGAATATTATCCAGTCATAAAAAGGAATGAAGTATTAATATATGCTACAACACAAATGAACCTTAAAAACATTATGCTGGATCCCTGGGTGGCGCAGCGGTTTGGCGCCTGCCTTTGGCCCAGGGCGCGATCCTGGAGACCCGGGATCGAATCCCACGTCGGGCTGTCAGTGCATGGAGCCTGCTTCTCCCTCTGCCTGTGTCTCTGCCTCTCTCAATCTCTCTCTCTGTGACTATCATAAATAAATAAAAATTTAAAAAAATTATGCTAAGTGGAAGAAGCTAGTCACAAAGGCCGTATATTGTATTATTCCATGTATATGAGATGTACAGTATAGGCAGCTCTATAGAGACATGAAGTAGATTAGTTGCTACTCAGGGGGAGTGAGGAAGGCAGAATGACTGTTATTTGTTGCAGGGTTTGTTTTTGGAATGATGAAAATGTTCTGGAATTAGGTAGTGGTGATGGTTGCACAAATTTGAACATACTTAAAACTATTAAGTTGTATACCTTAAATGGGTGAATTGTATGGTATGCGAATGATATCTCAATAATGCTATTATCAAAGGTGGAGGGTGGGAGAGGTCAGGTGATGCTGCACTCATTCATCTGAAGTAGGGGGAAGGGCAGAGGGAGAGGGAGAAGCAGACTTCCCACTAAGCAGGGAGCCCAACATGGGGCTCAGTCCCAGGACCTGAGATTGTGACCTGAGCCAAAGGCAGATGTTTAATCAACTGAGCCACACGGGTGCCCCTGAGATGTCTAGTTTTATTTTATCTTTTTTAAGATTTTATTTATTTATTCATAGAGATGCAAGGAGAGAAAGAGAGGCAGAGACACAGGCAGAGGGAGAAGCAGGCTCCATGCAGAGAGCCTGACATGGGACTCAATCCAGGGTCTCCAGGATCACGCCCTGGGCTGCAGGCAGCGCTAAACCGCTGCACCACCAGGGCTGCCCAGATGTCTAGTTTTAAACACAGTTGTGTCTCATTACTCATTCCCTCAAACCCGGGGCTGGGCTCAGTTTATGCCTGGTATGCTTGGGGCTGAACTCCTACCTGGAAATCTTATGAGGGATAGTCCTATACCCAGATTCCTACTCCTTAGTCCTGGAGTACTCCCAGAAGAGTACTGCCTTCTGGGCTTCCCAGAAGAAGACTGTCTTCTGGGCTTCCTCCCAGATGTCAGACTTCATCTGCCCATTGAGTTTCTTCTGATCTGCCCCAGCCGAATGGGATAAATTCCCAGATGCGGCAGCATCAGCTGCAGTCCTTCAGCATCTGCAGCAGCATTGGAGTGGATGCCACTGTCCTCCTGGGCAGCCCCCAACCAATGGCACAGTCAGGGCACTAGGGCCTGCCTATTTCTGCCCAGTTGGAGCTCTTGTGTGGGCAATCTTTGTACCAGAGCTCCCTGTTGGCTGGCTGAGATCTGCTCAGAACGGTACCACAGTATGATGCTCTTACCCAGCTCTCCTTCCCTTCTACTCTCTCCCGTAGATGTCACACTTGCAACAGTCTGAAGGCTTTCTCTGCCCAATCCTGGTTCCTCCCCACCCCCTTTATCGATCACAGGCATTTCCTCCGATATATCTCTTGCACTTTCTAACTCCATCTTGATGGTGGCTTCCTAGAGGACCCAACTGACACTTAGGCCCTGGCTCCCCTGGGCTGCCAGACCCTGTCCCCACAGGGAATGTATTCCTCTCCATCTCCCAACTTGAGCATGCTCTGTCCCTCCTCCCCTCCTCTCTCTGTTCAGGGCCTCCCCCCTGTACCTGGCAGTAGTAGACACTCATGACTATTTGTTTTTGAATGAATGCAGAATGCTCTGGAGCTAGGTACTACCTGCATCACTCTCCTGGCACAGAGAGCTGAGAGCGACCTCCAGGTGGGGTAGAGAAGGCAAGCTCCCAGGACTCTAGGCAGTGGGGAGGAAGACTCCAAGATGGGGAGGTGGTAGGGGAGCCAAGAGCCACCCAAGGTCACAGGAGGTCCTCCCCACAGACCAAGAAATATCTGACCTATCTTCTCCCCTCATCTACTGTGTGACTCCTGTCAAGTTATTCCTCTTCTGGAGCCTTACTCCATCCATCTCAACAATGGGATGAGAAGCCCTGCCCTGCCTGTCTCCATAGGGAGGGGCAGGGGTTGTGAGCACCAAATGAGGTCATGCTTTGGAAAGGGCAGGATACACTGGGTCCTGGGCCTGGGGTCAGGGTGTGGAGGGAGAGAACAGGCAGAGAAGGAAGGAAGAGAGAAGAATGAAGAGAGAGAAACAGACACATAGGCACACCAAAGGAGGAAACCATGAGACATAATGAGGGAATGAGTGAGAAAGAGAAGAGAAAGGGAGGAGAGGAATGAGAAGACATTAAGAAACAAAGAGAGGAAAACAGAGAGGAAAAAATTAAAAGAGAAACAGGATAAAGAGGGAGACAGGGATACTCAGAGCCAGAAAGGCACAAAGAAATGAGATAGAGAGGGAAGAAGGGGAGAAGGGACAGAGAAGAGTGGTACAGAGAGGGGAGAGAAAGAGAAAAAAGAGAAGGAAAGAAAGAAAGAAGAAAGAAAGAAAGAAAGAAAGAAAGAAAGAACAAAAGAAAGAAAGAAAGAAAAAGAAAAAGGAGAAAGAAAATGAGATGAAGAGTTAGTCAGGAGAAGATGGAGAGGGAGGGATAGAAATGAGGAGAATTAGCCAGAGAGGGAAAGAGACCAAGAGATGGAAGGATGAGAGAGAAGCCAAAGGAGCCAGAGCAATGGGGACTCATGGACAGAGAGAGGGATAAGTGATCAGATCCCGGGGACCCCTGCCTCTCATCCTCCTGGAACCTACTGTGTACCCTTCCTCACCTCAGAGAGGTGGAGATCCAGAGCAAAGCCTCAACTCCCCTTTTGTCTGCAAGGCTGGGCCTGTCCTGTCCTGCTGGTTTGGCTTCTGCAATCTCTGTGCCAAAGCCTCTGAGGGGCACTCCAGTGGGAGGCAGGGCTCCAAAGTCTATCCTGTAAGTTGACTGACGAGGCCACGGGGTGGAATCTGAAGAGAAAACCCAGTGACACCTCCCCTTGAGGCCTAGGCAAGCCCTAACCTGCCTTCCTTTAGGGCCCAGACAGGAAGAGACCTCAAAGGTCACCTTCACTGTTTTCTTCACTGCACAAAGGAGGATACTGAGGCCCAGAGAGGGGCAGGGACAAGTCTGAAGTCATACAACCAGGTCACAGCTTAGCTGGGACTAGCTCTCATGGATGCTGCGGCCTGAAGATTTGGGGACTTGGTTTCTCCTGGCTAAATTGCTTCCTACCCAGGGATGTCCTGAGGCTTTAGTGACAGTGTCTTGGATGCCAGTTACTGCACAGAGAGTCTTACCCAACATCCCATGAACTGACTACTGTGATTATGCCCATCATACAGATAAGGAAACTAAGGCTCAGAGAAGTTAAGACTTCCAAAGCCTGAGGTCACACAGTGCCGGGACCCAAGTTAGGTCTGTTTGACCTTGAAAGTTGGGTTCCTGGGACCTCCTACCCTTCCTGGACGATAGGCTCTGTACTATGGTAAAGGGGGCAGTGGTGGGTGGCCATTTCTACAGCTGGGAAAAATTATCAAATCATGATTTCCAAACAATAGAGTTCTTCCCAGAGGGACCTACCTTTGTTCAGTGGTGTCCCTACCTTTGGGAACCCTAGGTCTCCCTACCTTTCCTGCCACCACTCTCTCTCTCTGTCTCACACCCCCTCCCTCAGCTTCTGGAGGAAGGAGTTTGGCTCCTGGGCACTCCCAGCAGCGCCCCCCTTCTCCCTGCCAATGTACATACAGTGAGATTCTCTTTCCCAGCTCTGCCTGTGGCTCTGCCTCACTGGGGCTCGCTCTCCTGGAAGACACTGGGATGGAGGTTGAGAAGGATGTTGGGGGAGCAGTAGGCTGACGGGCAGATGGATAGACAGACAAATCACTGTTCCTGCCAGTCCTGACCTCTCAGCAAAGCTTTCCAAGAACTCTACTAATAGCCTCCCTTGCCAGGCACTCGAAGTTTCCTCACCTTCAGTGATCCTCAGTTTCTTCATCTTTCCTGTGTGTATAAGCACTCCAGCTTCCCCGGGTAGTTGGGAGCTGGATAAGACATCAGCTTTGGGACACAGGAACACGTGCTGGCGGTAGTCCTTCCCTGATGGAGAGACCCTTCCTGTCTCTTGCGGAACACAAGATGCCTGCTGTGTCCCATCGGTGGCTACAGTCCAAGGACGGAGATGGCTGCAGACTCAGCCCTCTGCCCAGCCCCCTGCTCCTCTAGAGACCATAGTCCCTTCAAGTCCAGAGCATTAGCCCTGCCCCATGCCCTGCTCACAAGGCCTGCTCTGGCTGTGTCTCTACCATCTATGGGACCAGGAGGGTTGCTGCTTGGCCAGGCCTGTGTCTCTGAGTCCCAGGAAGTGGAGAGCCCTGGGGCGCTGTCCCCTGATTTGCTGAGAGGCTTTCTTAGAACCAGTGATGGGTGGTGGTGCACCCTAGGTGGCCAGGGGACGGACACTCCCTTTCCCAGAAGCCTCTGGACTCCCGGGGTTGGGGGGGTGCACAGGGCCCCAGTCCTGCCCTCCCCTCCTTCATGCCGCTCTGGTAGAGGCCGTGGCCCTCTGCCAACTTCATAGAGGTGGGTGTGGCAGCCACCACTGGGGCAGGGGCTGAGGACGAGTTCTGGGAGCTTCCTAAGTGCCCCTGACCCCTCTTCCCTCCCCAGGGAGATAGAGAACCCCTCCTGGCCCCCTGCCTCAAGGCCCAAGACTTTGGCTCCCACAGTCCCCATGCAGGCGGGGCTGGCAGCAGGTGACTGGATGAGAAAGGCGTGGTGAATGGGGGCGTGGGCCCTGGCAAGTGCACTCCTTGGCCAATCAGCAGCCTGCCCAGCCGGTGGATTGAGTTACAAGCCCGAGATCACCCCATACTCCAGCCTCCTTCCTACTCCTCCCAAAGCTCCATTCATTGGCCCCGCTGCACTGGGTCTGGAGGGCACTGCTTCCGCTCAATTGCTAAAGCTGCTGCCTCGTGGGCTGCCAGGGGTAGGTGTCCTGGGGGCTTTGTCTAAGTCGGCTGATCCAGGACGGAATGGGGGTTCCAGTAGCGCTGTTAGGGATGCTGAGCATCCTGGGAGTGGCTGTGGGGGGCTCCTCTGAACTTCTCTGGGACAGCACCTCTTGCCACCTGGCCAGGCCCATCCCTGGCAACTCCTTGGGGACTCTGAGCTTTCTGGGCAAGGATGCCCAGGGACTGGCCCTGTTCCACACTCACTGGGACAGGCAGGGGAGGCTGCAAGCGTGTAGCCGGCAAGATGAGCCAGAGCTCACGGCAGCCTTCAGTGCCCTCTGTGCTGGGGAGATCACCCGGGGCTCCTTCATCCACACCCCTGGACCCAAGCTGCAGAGAACCCTGGCCACACTTCAGAGTCAGTGGGGGGCCTGCCGAGGGCCTGAAGAGCATCCAGCAGGGGCTAGGGAGAAGCGAGCAGCAGGGGCCAGGGAGGAGAAAGCAGAACAGAGTGGAGCACCTGGCAGCATAGGACACCAGCGGGTGAAGAGAGGCTGGACCATTCCTGGCACGCTGTGGTGTGGAGTAGGGGATTCTGCTGGGAACTCCTCGGAGCTGGGTGAGCCATGGGAATGTGGACTGAGGGGCAGGGGAGGGAAGTGCAGGCTTTCAGCTCTACCCCCCACTCATCCAGGCTATACGCCCTTGGGGGAATCTAAGTTATTCAGACTTAACCACTCTGAATTTCAATGTCTTTATCTGTAAAATGGGGGTGACCATAAGTCTCATCATGGGTTGCTTAAATTAGGTCACAGATGGGAAATCTAATCAAAACCTTGGAATCCTCATTAATCACCCTCCCAGGGAAGGGTTGGACTGGACTGAGTCCAAGGTTGGGTGAGCCAAAACGCCATTACCCAAGAGGAGGCTTTATGATGACAGGATGCCCAGGGGAGTGGACGCCAAGGCCCAAAGGCCTGGGTTAGCAAATTCAAGCTGAACAAGTCACTTCCCCTCTCTGAACCTTGGTTTCCCTCACCTGTACCTGGAAGTGACATTTCCCTCACAGAACTGCTGTGAGCTTGGGTGTGGGAAGTGCCAGGCAATTGGGAAATGCTCAGTAAAAGGCACTACTGCTCAGTTGGTAACAAATTTGGATGACTTTTTTGCACTCCATACTGCTGTCTTTGTGCATGCATGTATAGCGGGTTGGGGGAAGGCTTTGGCACCTGAGTTAGAGCAGATTGGCATCCTGGCAATGCCTCATCATGCCAGCGAGAAAGGTTGCACCCTGCCTCTTTGCCATTCCATGGCACACACGTTCATAACTTTGGAGTTTTATTTGGGGCATGAGCTTGGGAGCTCTGGAGGCAGACTTCACTTCCCCTGAGGAAATCCCTTTCCTGGACAAGGGCTCCTGGGTGGGCTGCTTGGCATTTGCAGCTGCCCAATAAAGGCTGTGCCTGGTTGCTCTCTTCAAGCTTTGAAACTGAGAGTCCTCCAGAGGGAGAGTGGCCTGAGGCCACCCAGGATGTCTGTGGCAGGGCTGGAGCAAGAGCAAGGTCCCTGTTCCTGCACTGGGTAGGCATAGCCAGCGTGTGACACCCCCAACCCTGCTGAGCTGGGGCCCCCTCTGCTTCTTGCAGGGGTCTTCCAAGGTCCCGATCTCTGCTGCCGGGAACACGACCGCTGCCCACAGCACATCTCGCCCCTCCAGTACAACTATGGCATCCGAAACTACCGATTCCACACCATCTCCCACTGTGACTGTGATACTAGGTTGGCGGTGGGCAGAGAGGGCTGGGGGCTCAGGGGTGAGGTAGTTCCTGGGTGCAGAGGCTGGGATTCCAAAGAATCCTAAAGGATCAACCAGCCAGACCCCACTGTGCAGGCGGGAAAACTGAGTCCTCGGAGAAGAAGAGATTCTTGGATCTCAAACCTCCTGTATGGCAGTGACTGGGTGGGCTTGGAGGAGGAGTTGGGTGGCCCCCTGGTGCAGGAACCTGAGTGCCAGCTCTTGGACAGGTTCCGGCAATGCCTGCAGAACCAGCAGGACTCCATCTCAGACATCATGGGCGTGGCCTTCTTCAACGTGCTGGAGATCCCCTGCTTCGTGCTGGAGGAGCAGGAGGCGTGTGTGGCGTGGTACTGGTGGGGAGGGTATGTGGCTGCCTCCTTCAATCCCCTGCCCAATCAGAGGTGGAACCCAGGCTCCAAGCTGTGGGAGGGAGGCTTGTCTGTATGTCCATCCTCTAGCAAATGATTCCTCATCCTCCCTGTCCTCTCCTCAGGGCAGGGCCCAGGATGCAGACCTTCCCTGGAGGCTCCACACAGCCCAGTGGGACAAGGGATGGGACTGTCAGAGCCTTGGTCTCCGTGGAGATGAACCTGAGGCTTCTGGGGAGAGGGGATTAGGAGTTACCAATTACCACCAATTGTCACTTTGTAGGTGTAGAACGTATGGCTCCGTACCCCTTGCCCGCCTCCAGCCCAGGACCTTCTACAATGCCTCCTGGAGCTCCCCGGCCACCCCCCCAAGTCCCAGCCTCCAGAGCCCAGCCCCCAGCAAGCCTCGACAGAAGCAGCGTCCTCTGAAGCGGCCACCACAACGGAAAGGGTCTAAGCGTCCCAATAAAACCAACACCATAGCTCTCCAGGTCCCTGTGGCCTCCATCAAACCTGAGATATCCCCCACAGCCTGGCTGGAGGTCACCCATCCAGACCTCCAGGGGTCACAGAATGGCCTCAAACCTCAGGGTGAGCTCAGAACCTGATCTGGAGGGCTCTTGGTGTGGGAAGGTGTCCTTACCTCTGTTGCTTCCTTTCCTGTTCCAAACTCCTCCTGGGGTCTCCCAACCTTTCCCATCAAGTCATGCTGCAGCTAGAAGGATTTTCATAAACCCCAAACTTGACTATGTTAGTCCTCACTGAGCCTCCACCACGGCTCATGATGTCTCAATACCCAGGGGCGCTCAGGTGCTGGTTCTGCAGACCCTACTCCCCAGTTGAAACTCCAGTCTTACAAGTTTCATTTGGTTCCTCAAAAGCAGCTTGCTCTTACCTCTGGACCTTTGCACATGCTGTTCCTTCTGCCTGGAGCACTCTCCCGAGTTGTCTTCTCCCTGTCTCAACTTAGCAGTCTCTACCACCCAAAAGCATTTCCTGACCTACGCTCTGGGCTATCTGGGCTATATGGTGGCACTGGTCTGTGTATGTGGGTGTTTGTGTGTGTGTGTGTGTGTGTGTGTGTGTGTGTGATGTGTGCATCATTCTCAGGGCAGGAAGGGCATGAGAGAGAGGGACACTGTGTGGCTGAGGACACGAACCCATGTTTCTCCTAAATGGCAGTGGGCATCAGTGGGGCTTTCCTGGGGGACCGGGCTTCCCTCACTACTATGTCCCTCACCCCAATCCAGATGCCCGCTGGGCCTGCCGCAGCTTCCGCCGCCTGGATCAGTGTGAACAGCAGATCGGGCCTCAGGAAACCAAATTCCAGCTACTCAATAGCGCCCATGAGCCCATCTTCCATTGCAACTGCACGCGTCGGTGAGGCCTGCTTGGGCCCTTGGGGATGGGCGGCCTACTGCCAGTCACTGAAAGGGGGGCTCCGGGTGGCCAGACCCTGCCCTAGCCTAAGCCTGCCTCTGCCCTCAGTCTGGCACGTTTCCTGAGGCTCCATAGCCCGCCTGCGGGCACCAACATGCTTTGGGAGCTGCTAGGCATGACCTGCTTCGAGCTGGCCTCTCCACTGGACTGTGCTGAGGGCAAGGGGTAAGTAAGGGCAAGGCCAGGAGGGAGGGGGCATTTGGCCAGGGGGTGGGTCACCTGTCTTCCTTTTGTGTGCCAGGACCAGGGGATGGGGAAAGGGGTCAAGGCACCTCTGAGTTCCATCGTCACCATCACCCTACTCCCGGGTGCCCAGCTATGGCTCTGCGCTTGGTTCATATGGGTCCATGTTGACTCTGTCACTTCCTGTGGGACCTACAAGTTCAGTCACCTCTCCGTGCCTCCATTCTCTTTGTAAAAAGCTTGTAGAAGCCAAGGAAATGGTGTGTGTGACACATAAAGCCCAAGGCCTGCCTGACACATAGTAAAAATGCTTACTTAACACTTACTCCTGAGCTAAAATCTCATTTCAGTTCGGATTCTCAGAGCAAGACCCTCATTACCTTCCCCATTTCACGGGTGAAGAAACCGAGGCCCAGCTTGGCCCAGGTGTCTACAGCCAGCTGGTAGCAGAACAGGGGCCTCTTGATGCCAGCCCAGGTTTCTCTTGCCCCCTTCGAGAAGTAACCCAGCTCTCCCTGGCCCCAGCCCTGCTTCTCTCTAGGCTCAATGCCCCTGTCTGCAGAGGAGGGCAGGATCCTTGGCAGCCTTAACCACCTGCCCCACTTTTCTCTGCCCACAGCTGTTCCAGAGACCCTAAAGCCATCAAGGTGTCAGCCCGACACTTGCGGCGACTTCAAAAGAGGCGGCTCCAGGTCTGGGGTGTGGGCACAGGTGAAGGGCAGGTGCGGCCTTCAGATCACACAAGAGCCCCCATATCGTTCTATGACCGCTGCCTGCAGCTGACCCAGGCAGCCTGAAGACCCAACGGGCAGCAGAAATCCTAGAACCACTGATCTCAGTTCCAGACTGGACCCTGCCCCCAGCTCTGCTTAGCCCTAGGGGGTCTTGGCTTCCTCTCCATATGTTAGACTGAAGCATGGCTTGGGCCCCTGTGGACAGCCAGGGGGCTGGATGAGGAGGGAAGGGGAGGCAAGGCTGAAATGCTGGACCACGTCTCCTGCTGTGCTGAGTGCTCTTGTGTTGGTGACATGACCCCTCTGTGCTTGGATGTGAGGTTCAGGAGGCTCATTCTGATGTCTTGGGCCTAGGCCTTGCCAGATGGGAATGGGGAAGGGTAATTTATTACAGCAGCCTCAGGAGGTACCAAGAAGAGGTACATTTATCTCCAGGTTGCAAAATTAATACATGTTACAAAAATCAGTCCTGGGGAGCCCCAGCACCAACTTGCTGACGCCTGAGGCAGCAGGTAGGGAATGAGATGTCACTGAAGTGCCTGTGTCTATATCCAGGAAAGGGGAGGGTGGCCAGAGGGGGCTTCCCAACTCTTCTTGGGGGATCCCTTCTCTTAACAGCTATTGTGCTCTTCTTGGCACAGCCTTGGCCCATTTTTTCCTACTCTAAACCTAAATTCAAATCTCCTCTGTGTCCTTGAGTGAGGGACCTTCCCCACTCTGAGTCTTAGTCTCCTCCTCTGAAAAAGGGCCATGTAATCAGAACCTACCTCATAGGATTGTTGAGGATTAAGTAAAATAATATATGGAGAGTGCTTAGCACCCTTCCTCTAATGTATTGATAGCCAAACTGTGGATAGGTGTGTGATTCTGATAGACTCACCTCCTGGAGGCCTCACTTTGCCCACCTGCAAAATAGGTCTAAGAATTGCACTGAACTCAGCACCACAACTGATGCAGATTAAAAGAGATGGCATGTGTAATGCATACAGCTGGTGCCTGGTAATTGTCAGATCTATCATCCTCTTGCCTCTTTAGTCCCTTCTTCTGACAACCCCAACCCCCAGGCTGTTAACAAGTTAGGAAGGAGTCAGGAGTGATGTTGGAGAATTTAATTTCTAATTGATGACCTCCAGGATTGCCCCCCACCCTATCCCAGATGGGGGCCAATAGGGCTTTGCTGATTGTCACAGTTGAGGTGCCAGGACTCAGTTTGGGGGACCCCAGTTGACCACCCCTGGCCAGGAGAGAGTGGCAGGTGTGGAGAAAGCTGGAGCAGCAGCAAGAAGGACATAGGTGGGTTTGCAGAAGATTGGGGCACAGTGGGGGCCACCTGGGCCCATCTGCCCACCTACCCTCATGGGGGCCCCAGACCCCCTTCCTCCAGCCCCTGTCGGCGTTGGGGACTAGTAGACAGGCTACTAGGGGCTGGGGCCTCCCGATTAGGTCCCCAGGAGCCACCACCACCAGGGTCGACGGTTTCCAGGCGCAAGGCAGGCAGCAAGCCCAGGCTTCGAGGCACAGATGGTGGGAAGGCCCAGGGACCAGGCAGCCCAGAGGGCCCCTCCTCACTACTGCCCCGGCTGCCACCATCATTGCCCTTATCAGGAGCCACCCGGGGCAGGCGGCGGCTCTGGGGTGAGGGGCTGCGGCTGGCACCACGGCGTTCACGGGATGAAGGCCGCAGGGCAAGGCCAGGGAAGCGGGCCAGGCCTGGGCTGCGGCTACGGTGTCTCTTGGACTTGCCAGGGCTGGGGCTGCGGGACTTGGGTGCAAGCAGCTCCAGGGTACTGTCATCTTCATCCTCTGAGCTGGCACTTGAGCTATCTGTGCTGCTGCTGGCCAACTCCGAGGTAGGCAGTGAGATCTGGGGGGAAGGCTGGTTACTGGGGTACCCCACTCCCCAACTAGCCACTGAAGGCATCTTTGAACCACTCCAACCCTGCCCACTGACAGACCCAAGAAGGTCAGGTTACTTGTAGGAGATTATGGAGCAGAATGTAGAGGCTGTGACATTTGAAAAGGGTCTTTTAGCACCCCTGACCCCGTGATCTGACTACTCACCTGGAAGGGCTCAGTGACACCGATGAGGATGCTGTGTGTGTGGCTGTAATAGCCCAGTATGAAATCTCCATGGCCCTTGGGCAATGACTCCTCACTGAAGGTCACCTGATGGGCCCAGGGCATAGGCTCAGGTTAGGGTCAAGGAGGCAGCTTCAAGGCCTGTCCAAGCCACGTTCCGAGCCCCAAAGGCAATGGGGGGCTCCTCCCACTCTCTGCTTCCCCTTCAGTACCTGGTAGATGTTCCCATCCACATCCTCGTGTTTGGCCCAGACATAAGCCACGTAGTCCTTGCAGTGGCGGAAACCTACCTGGGGTGAGAGGATTCAGGGTTGTGTCTCTTATCACGTGACTGCACCCCCCCAGGGTAGCAGCAAATTCCAGAGAAGCCAGCGATCCCCCTGAGCACCCGGCTGCTCCTCCAGATCCTCCCTTCCCAGAGTCCCTGACCATCCCTGCCCTTCTCACCCGGTACAAGCCAATCCAGTCCCAGGAGCTGCGGGCGAACACAGTCTCGATGCGGTACCTCACCACGGCCTGCTCTGGCCGCACCCACTCATCAGCCACCTCCAGCCGCACTAGTGGCACGTCGTCCCTGTAAGCAAACTGCCCAGGGGCAGGGGCAACATCGGGGGACACCCTCTAAGTACCCTATACACCTAGGGCCCTTGGGCCTGAGTCAGCAAAGGGCTCCTTACGCCCAGAGCCTCCTTGGGCAGTGAGAACACAGCCTGGAGGTGAATAGTGTAGCCCTGGTTCTGTCATTCCTCTGCTGCTGTCCCTCAGGGAAGGACCCAGATGGTGTGTCAGGCTCAAGCTTTTGTCTGCTCCTCTGTTCATTGGGTTTCAGGTTTCCCTCCCTCCTCAGGTTTTGAGCCAGGCTGTTCCAGAAGAAACCAGCACATCCTCTTCCTATCCTGAGGCTCCTAACAGCAGGTGTGCCCGGTGGCCTCTTGGAAATGATCTCCAGAGCCTTGTCAGGTCAAGGTCACTAAGTCTCGCTTTGATTGTGTTGCTTTCATGAAGAGACTCAAGTTTTCTGAGACTCAGTTTCCCCTCAGTAAAACAAGGAGGAGAATTTGGTATCTCAGGGCCAAAAAGGCATTCAAAGGGGTGACAGCCAAAGGGCCTGGCATGTAGTAGGTGCTCGACAGTTTAACGTTCTGCAAGGGTCAGAGTCCTTGATAAGGAGGGAAGGTCAGGGTAGGTTACCCAAAAGGAGTGGTTCCCAAGGTGAGGCCCCTGACTGAGGGTTAAATCTCACACCCAAGTCTTTTACCAAAGGTCATGGAAGGCCAGACTTGGGCAGATTTCCATTCCCAACTGAGGATATTGGCCAATGTCCCACTGACTGACCACATGACAAAGTTACCAGCGAAAACATTCTCTGGGCTGCAGGGCTCTCTCTTATCAGATCAAGGGAATCAGAGAGCCCAGAGTTGGGTTTCAGGACTGGAAAGATGGGATCTACCTTCCCTCATTGCTGAGCATATGTGCGGCTTGGGGAACATGCCTACCCTACTGGGGGCCTCAGTTTTCCCTGAGAAAAACAGAGTGTTGCACTACATAGTCTCTCAGGTCTGGTTCTGACATTCTAGCATTTCTCTTTCTTACTTTGCCAACCAGAGACCTCAACCTTAAACGCAATGCTAAATTACAGTAATCCCTTAGAATTTAGCTTTGTATTTTTCGTATCTCTACTCCTCCTCTCCATGACTACCTCATTCATGGTGCCTGGCACACTGCAAATGGTAAATAAATAATAAATAAATATGGGGTTTGAATAAATATTTTGATTTTTCTGGTCTTATTCTATACTATATAATGTGAATTTTAACAAATGTTGTCCTAATCCTTTCTCAGAAGAACAGAGCTAGGGATTCGTGGGGAAGGTATAGGACTCTGAAGACTAGCTTGGGTTCAAATCCTAATTCTTCTGTTCAGCAGCATGTGATGCTGTGTCTCTGAGCCTTGGTTTCTGCATCTGAAAATAGAGATCATAACCCACCCCTACTCTGCTACAATGAATGCATGCTGCTGAGGGCAGGCTTTGCCCCCATCAAGGGGTTACTGGTGGGCCATAGGATGCTGAGCTGAATCTGGGGACGTCATGACAGGAGGATGAGGCTGGGACTCACCTGCAGGACAAACTGGGCGGCCACGGGCTTATGGTCACTGACAGTGTATTCCATGTGGCTGCGGTAGCTGTGCTGGGTCACCTGGAGCCGATGGCTTTCCCGTCCTGAGGGGCTGGGACCCACACCTGGAGCCTTGACCTTCCACAGGATACGGTCTGTCCAGGCTGGCTTCCGCTTCTTGGCACTGAAGTGGGCAGGGGTGACCCAAGTTTCAGGGGCTAGGGTTTGAGGCACAGCCCCAGATTTGCTTCTTGCCAGTCCTCTTCCCTTTCTTCCCTATGCAGAAGACTTCAGCCCATGTGTCCACCTCATCCCAGTGCTGAGCTTACCTGGTGTCATATTTGTTAGTACCCACATCAAATTTGAAGGTGGGCGCAAAGTTGAGGGGCCCCTCCTGGAAGCCCTTCAGGATGGGCCAGGTGCTCTTGGCCATGTTGAGCTGTGAAGGTCCAAAAGGGTAGAATTGGACAATGGCTTGGACAGGGCAAGTGAAGGGAAGAGCCAGAGCCTAGTATACAAAGGTGTGCTGGTCATGCTCCGTGTGCTTGGTGTTTAGGGTGCGGGCTGGGATTCTGCACCTGGTCCTTCTCCCAGAGCTGGTGGAGCTGGTCGCTGTCAATGGCAAATTTGACGAAGTGCAGGTCATAGCTCTCGATGCGGAAGTTGAGGTCCCCAAACCAGAACACGAGGCTGTTCCGGGGTGGGAGTCATCAAGGTCCATGGGATGAAAGCCCAACCCAGATCCTTCACCTCTACCTAACCAACAGCACTGGACGACCCTAGTAATGACGCAATGGGTGGAGTGGGTGGCAGCAGATTCTCCGCCTGCCAAAGAACAGCAGGGGCATAAATCTAGAATAACATTAGGTTGGACCCTGAGCAAGGCCCTGCCCCTCAACAAAGCTCCACCCCGCAGGCTCTGGCCCCATCAAACTTACATTCGTGTTCCTAGATGTAGTTTGAGGGTACCCGTCATAGGATCTGCCTCTCCCCACAAGGCCCACCCAGGCTGGTACAGGTTCCTGTGGCCAAGTATTTGGGACTCCACTCTCTGAGGCCTACCTCTCCTTCACTAGCCTCCCCCTCGCCACCCCCACGCTCAATTTGGCCCCGGCCACAGCCCATACTCATGATCCAGGATGCCGTGTGCCCCAGGCCCCGGGAACTGCTGGAGGCTAAGGATGGTCTGGAAGTTGTCCTTGCGCTGCTCTGCTTTGTCCATGTGTGCAGGCAAGTGGCAGTTCAAGAAGCAGAGCATGTGCCCGAAGGCGGCCAGTCGCACACTCACTCCACCCTTGTTGCCCTTGGGAGACAAAGTTGGTCGAGAGTCAAGGGTGGGGCCTCGGCAAGTAGGTGAGGCACTGGGCGGGGCATCGAGATGGGCGAGGCCAGCCCGCAGGTGGACAAGGCTTAGAGCAGGTGGGTTCTAAAAAAACGGAGCGGAGCACTGGATGGGGCAGGGACAGGAAGGGGGCTTGGTCTAGAAAATGGTGTGGGGTGTGGGGCGGCGTTGGGGAGAGGAAGGCCTCAGAGTCGGGGGTGGAGACGGAGAGGGGACCTTGCCAGAGTGTGGGGGACCGGAGGACTAATCTATAGACCCCTCTGGGGCTGCTCCCATGCTCACCCAATAGCCACCCAGGCCAGTGCGCGTGCAGTCCGTCTGCACGTCCCTCAGGAAGGGCAGATGGTAGTACTTGGCGAACAGCAGCAGGATGACGCCCTGCATCCGCACGGTGCTCACCTGCGGCAGGAGGTGACCTGGTTGAGAGCTGGACACAACCCCCCCACCCTCCGCCCTGCTGTGCGCTTTCCCCCAGTCTTTCAGAACTCCCATTTCGCAGACCTGGCCACAGAGGCCCAGCAGGCCCCACAGTGAGTCAAGGCAGAGCTAGGGCCAGGGATCCAGGGGTCTCCACCCTTCCGGGGGCTGAGGGAGACGTTACCAGCACGAAGTTGAAGGGTGCCAGTGCGTCCATGAAGAGCTCGCTCCACTGGTCTGTGAAGAGTGCGTCCTTGAGCCGCTTGTTGATCATGGAGTTGACTTCCTGCAATCTGGGAGTCGAGTTGGGGGTGAAGCGGCTGTCAGGTTGGGGGTGCCCTAGAAGCCCCTCCCGTGGGCAAGGGTCTGGGAGGCACAAGGGGTTCCTGAGCAGGG